TCAGTTAGTGTTTTTAAACAATTTATGTTTAATATCTTAAACATTTGCCGGGGTTATTTATTTAAACTATTATCGATCTATCTAGTACTGAACAATTAATTATTACCAAAACTAGTATGTTATGAAATAAATGCATTTGAAATATGTGATAGTAATAATATTGAATACCTCCTCCCACCACGAAAAAAATTGTAAGCACGCCTCTGATCGCACCAAATAATCAGCATGTAACAATCTAAGTGCAATACAGTTGAAAATATTATTGTGTTCGTTAAATTCGTTACAATTATATTAATTTCGATTACAATATAGTGTGAATACCTTCTGCTAGGTAATCGATTGTTATGTGTATTTAATACGTGTTTGGTTTTGTGTTTTAATTTTACGTAGATATTGTTCGGATTTTTCATTTTGTACCGCGTATTGTGGAATAGTTATACAGTTCACGTGGATCAACGTTTACTCTTCGTTGACCAATATGTTGGCCAGCAGCTGGCGTAGTGATTTAATATAAAATAAATAAAATACGAAATTATATCATTTTGTGGTGGGTAGGGGAATGAAAATTATATTCGGCCAAGTCTGGTCTAATCCAACTCGGATATTTCCCGTATAATCGTTCGGGAAAACCTATGATCATATACAATGGATGGAGTTATCGCATATCACACCTATAGAATGAGTTGAAGTCAACATAACTATAGGACCGGTGACATCTGGGCATGCGTGCATGTTTATCAAATATCAATCTGTTTTCCAGTTTAAAATTGAATTTTGGCATCACTAATTCTGAATTTATAAAACAATGTTATTAATCATCATTATGAAGTAGCAAATACAATATAATTAATAATATTATTATAATAATGCCGAATAAAAATCAAGATCCTTATAATAACCATCGAAATAAATTGATACAATTCATCATTGAGCTATATATATATATATACGAGTATATATATATATATATATATATATATATATATATATATATATATATATATATATTATTAAGATTAACTCATAATGAATACACTAAAATGATTCTATTTAAAAATCAGTAATATCACTAATATCTATGAAGTAATTATTATCCATACTATTTATCTGTATAATACCTTCTTAATTATAACTACACTAGTTTCAAGTACAGTTATAATTATTATTTTAAATTTACCTGTCATGCACATGTTAAAAGTTAATCTTAGCCCGTTTTATTCATCAAAATAAATTATTATTATTACCATCATTAATACCCTACAATATTACATTTACATTTTATGATAAATCGTATTACGCATTATAAGTAGAAATAAATAAGAATTAAAGAAACATTTGACGAACACTTAAACTTTATAGTTGATCGCGATCCTGTTCAATAATCAACTAATATTTGCGCCAAAAATGAATGATTAGATAACACGCGCATGCGCATATCAGTGCAATCCTACTGTTAAGCCGGGTTCACACGGAGTCGTAAACTGGACGAGAATACTACTATTAGGAAAGTTGGTCGTGATCACTACCTGGTGTGAACTGGTAGTCGTGGTAGTAGGAGTCGTCAACAACCAAAAATAGATCGGTCGTGATTACTCCGGCATGTTGGATCGAACACGACCGGTTAAGTTGTGAATCACTTACCCAATGTCAAATTTTTTGCATACATATATATATACGTATTTGTTTCGTTTTTCGTAGGCGTTAAATAATAAAATGTATTAACTTATAATTTATTAATTAAATTAATTAATACATTTTATTTTTATATAATAATAACATTTCCTACGTCAGCGTAATGTCAGTGTACAAAATGAATACTTAACAAACAATTTAATTTGTTGAAATGTATCGCGATGCGGAATGTTTGTGGAAAATAAATTCTGATGTGTACAAATACAGATATACAAAAGATGGAGCCTTAAAAAAAAATATGCGACGAAATGGGTATCGATGGTTTCGGTATTCATGAAATAGCCCAAAAAATTAAAAACATTGGATCAGTTTATTATTAAGAATCGAAAAAAATAAATAACTCTAAAAAATCAGGAGCATCTGCAATTGATATGTGTGAACTGGGGGCCGTAAATTATCGGTCGTGCGATTCAGGCAGTCGTGAGACATGCGTAGAACGAGTAGTATTCTCGCCCAGTTTACGACTCCGTGTGAACCCGGCTTTATGTTGGCTTCACAAATTATTTGTGTACGACTCCGTCCGTTGCACATGAGATCTAAGGGGAAAACGTACCATCAGGGCGTGCACAGGGTATTCGGCAGTCGCGACGTCGAAAACGTTTTATTTACGAGACGATTTAACGCGCAATATCGTACCGTTGCCATTACGAGCCGCCGGCACGAACAAGGTTCACCGAGATTAGTTCGGTCGCTTACGCGTACTACAAGTGGGTACATCAGCGAACCGAGATAACGTATTCGTAAATCTATTCGGAGCGGTACATAATTCATACGGTTTTCAACGCGGCTGCGATTCGTCAATAAATCATAAACGCCCGGTAGTTACACGTCCGTATACCATGTGTTCATTCGCATGTAGTATCTCCGCGGAACACGCGTGTGCGACGTCGAGTCGAGGAGTAAGGGCTGGACTGGACAGGCGGGATACCGGGAGTTTCCCGGTGGGCCGCTTGTTTGAAATTAGGCCTCTTTTATTCGTTGGAAAGTATTTATTTTTTTTAAGCTTATCGGTTTAGGCTCATCGTGCTGACAGACATAAACGCATTTTCTAATGCGCTTGTATTAGAAACTGTCGAAAATTAAATAAAAGGTATTTTAATTTTTAATAGTTTTTTTTAGGGTTGCTTTTATACCTTTGACATATCTAAGTGGGCCTTTTTTTATTTTCACGGTAAAAATTTCAGATCCAGTCCGGTCTTGCAAGGAGTTACTTTTTTTCATCGTTCCGCCGCGTGCAGCTTCCGATACCAGCCCCCTCCTCCCCCCCGGATCGAGATGTTAACAATGTTTGACGGCGGTCGCCGATGGATCGAATACGGGGTAACTAATATTCAGAAATGTAAGCGTTAAAGTAAACAGAATCCTTCTTCTTTAATTTTGACAAGTCGAGCACTGAAACCGTACTCTTCACGATACTGCCGTCACCGGATCGCTTTGAACGGACCGCTGCAATATGTTCGGTTGTACGCGTTCCCGATCGAGTTTTTGTATTGCGTGAATTGCACGCTTAACGTCCGTCCTCCAAGCGAAATTTCCCTTTGAAAGTACAATATTTACGGTCGAGTTAGTACGACGGCGTCGTGTGAACATACGAATTTTGTTAAACACGTATTACATGCGTTCCCGGTGCAAATACGTTCGAATAACGGAATGAAATATGATCGCGTTTCGAAAACCGTAACCGTAAGCCGTTCTAAAAACACTGCGCGTTAAGTTCGACCGGTCGAAAATCGGACGAAATAAATTATTCCGTTTATTCGTCCGGACGTGCTAACGAGTCTTCCCCGCGCCTCGTCTTCGTAGGACCGCAATGCACTCGCCACCCACTACGGCGTATACGATATAATGTTCCGATGCTACAAGTGGCGTTTGCTGCTGGGTACAGATAACGCGGAAAGTCATTTAGATGTGTTTTCGAAACAATGGATGACGTTTATAAAATTATGACTTCGGATTACTCCGGGATCAACGTTGGCAGCGGAGAGGACTCGAACAAATATTATATTATATACTATTGTCGCTGTTGGATTAATAAACACAGAAGGAATGGATATTTTGTTTTTCAAATATTACTTTTTGAAAATTCCATTTCGATATAATTTGAATTGTAATTCGGCCGGGTGATTGCTAAAATTAATGGAGATTCGTACCACTAGCTCTGCGGAACATATTATTTCCGGTTTTATTGCAAATGGTTTTCGTACAGTATAAAATATACAATAATATAATGCGAGAATATATATGAATATTTGTATATAATTTCGATGATCAAAAAGCCCATCTAACTGCCCGACGTTGTGCGAAATAATATTCATGAAAGATAAATCATCTAAAAAAAAATATAATTGCTTCATGTGTTTAATAAAATGTATTTTCGATAATGCTAATAACATCGATCACTGTTGAAATGTTTTAATTTTGTTGAATATAAATTCGAAATACCTAAAATCATCTATAGTTTCCGGACATTTAATTTGTCTGACCATGTCATAACATTTCATTGTCATATGCGCACAAGCACACAAAAACGTAAGAACAATACAAGACTACGATTTCAGTGCACGATTCTGCAAAACCTTGCATTGATAACAAATGGTTTGAAAACCATAAGACCACAGCAATTGTCACGGTGCAGCGAATATGGAAGCGATCGAGGATTTCGTTTCGTTCGATCGACGTCTGATTCTACACACTTTTTGTTATATATCTTTGTTTTGCGCGTTTTATCTTCGCAATACCAATGTGGTTATAAATCATAATGATTACGTCACGTGCTCATGACCACCACGGACGATTGAGGGTGAATTCCTTAATGGTTTTGGGCAAGCGCGCGTTGCAAGAAAACACGATACTTCTCCGGTGTCGGATCTAAATCTCATGAGGCAGGGATGCAAATACCAGTTAGTGAGCAATTAAAAAAACGATTTTTTCGTAAAAGTTTCTTCTCTCCCCGTTTTCGTGCATAGATTTTAAATAGGCCCTTTTAAAAATTTCGATTTATAAATTCACTGTTAAAATTCGTTGAATGAAATACAATGAAGAAATATCAAAAAAAGAAAACTAGTACGCAAAAGCAAAAAAAAAATAAATAAATAAAGAAACAGACAATTTCTGTTTTATATTAAGGATTTTAGAGTCCCCATAGAGCTTGCGTATCCGGTAAATCGTACTCCCTGAAACCCCATTAAATCCGGTACTGCGTTTCCCGACAGCAACCACACGGGATACAACGCATTTACTGCTAAAGTGATACCGTCACGGTGGGAAAAGTATTGAGGACCATCAAAGTTATCGTGGGATCAACTGACCTGTATGATAGACGCATAGTAGTGTGACGGCGAGTCCGAGTATACAATTCATATTGCTAAACCAATCGCAATTGTACTTCATGACGTTTTTATTGGAAAATCACGGCTGTAACGACATTGCGTCGTCGCGTCAAAACGTTATTTCCCCCGACTGAAACACACGAAACACAAAAGTTACAAAACATAATACAACAATTTTATACATATATATATATATTCAGGCTGAAAATGATGTATGATGGAAAAAATAAAATAAAATATCAAAGATTGAATTGTTATGTGTATAAATATATATATATATATATATATATATAATAGATATCTTTAAACTATATATACAATAATATAATATTATATTATCCTTTTGGGTACGTGGCGGTAGTGAACGACCAGGTAGGAGGGAAGAGGGTTATTTTTATTATACAGTTATAACGTCGTTTTTTTCCTATTTTCGCTAATGGAATACGATTATTATCATTTTTTTATTTTTATTTGTTCTACATCATATCGAATGCTCATAAATCTCGATGTATTTTTTGTTTAACGTCGTCCGTTGAAATTGAATTCGGGTTTCCGGGAACTTTATTTCATTAAGTCCCATCGGATCCCCAGCAACCGACATCGTCGCAGCACCACCGGATCTCGTCAAAAGTGTAATATAACAATATTACAAGTGAATGGTTTTTTTTTTTTATTATTATTATTTTTTTTCACTCGATCGAATCGCTCAGCGAGAAGAACTCCGTACTACCGACAACGTTTACCCGAAAATATTTACCTGCATGTCGTGGGAATGTGGCACGCATCGTGCACCACGACAGTGGCATATTCATGGGTTTTTTTTTTGAGGGGGGTCAGTGGGGGTCAAACCCCCCCCCATGAACCAGAGATAGTAAATTAACTTTTACACGAAACATTTATAAATTTTAGAATTTTGACTTGGAAATCATATTAAAAGTTTGTATAAACACTATAAATGTATAATACAAACTCTGCACACACACACACACGTCATAATATTATGATCATATTTAGATACTTTACTGCTACTTTGATAATTTTTGCTTAGGAACATATTATTTAGGTTTTCTACAATGGTTGACTCTAAATCGATTGTCTGGTCCCGATAACTGAGATAAAAGCGATATCATTGTTTGTATTGAAAGTTTATTTTGAGTGTATCTATTGCATTCGCGGCTCGCCGATCATTTAATACAAGCACTTTATTGTGTAAAACTAATAGTTATTAGGTAATAGTTGGTCGTTGCCCGTTGGTGTCTCGCTGTTTTACTTACTACTCGTTTATTCGTTTATATTTGACATTTGTATTCCATTATATTTGTTTTATTTTAATTTTACATCATTCTAAGACGTATAAACATTCCATTATGGTAAGATATTTTTAAAATTTAATTTTTAGTATATCTAAGTGATTGGACAGAAAATATTCTAATATCTAATATTTATGTTCCTATATTAGTTCCGAGTTTCTAAATTGTTATTATTATTGTTATTTATTATAATAGGCAAATTATCTAAAAAATAAACAGATTAGAAAAATTAATTATTTTTTTTTACCTGAGTCAAAAAACTAAAGTCAACCAGACTTAAAAATACCGAGATCAATACAAATAATAGTTAAAATGATAGTGATAAGATTAAATATATATAAATTTACTGACCCCTCCACCCCATAAAAAGTTCCTGACTACGCCACTGCACCACGAGCAAGACAGTCTTGCGACGGAATTATTTTTTACACGCAATCACCTTGCGTAACACGTGTACCTTCATTAGACGAACGCGATTAAAAACAAAAAACAACGGAAGGAAAACGTAGAATTCGCCGTCTATGTAAAACTGTTCATTTCGTACCGTACGTGTTAGCGAACGGGTCGTTGCAGAATTCATCACGAATATAAGACTGTTGACTATTTTAACTATTCAGATATTAAAGTAAAGGTATTACACATATTATCGGTACTATAATATTATATGCTTATACCGTTTACATAGTTAGTGGTATACGGGAGTACGCGAAGCCCCGATGAGCGGTCATCGGTTACACGTTACATTAGCAGCATTTGGTCCGCGCAAGGTAGGATCACTTGCGATTTTTTATTATTATTTTTTTTTTTTTAACAGTGGTCATTGGCTTGCTCGCCAAATTATTAAGCCCGTACGCAGTACTATGATACTATGATAATAGAACGTACACACTTATTGGTTTATACCTTTATCACTTTATTCAGTCGATTATTTAATGTATTATTTATTGTTTTAAATTTTAATTAATTAAATTTAATAAATGTAATTTATTAATTTAACGACAAATAAAAAGTAGATACAATTGTTTTAATGGTACACATACTGTTAAACGGCTTGATGAATTAGTTGGAAAAAATGTGGATTGTTTAATTGTTGGTGTCAAAAATGCCTGATAATTTTGTGGCCGGGATACAAGTATGGGTATCAAAATATTAATTAAACTGTGGGAGAATGGGACGCTTGAATGATAAAAGGGTAACTGGAAATGCACACAAACGACGCGTATCGTCGTAATGCACATGAATTGGATATCGTACGCCGTAGTGTTTAAACCGTTGATCCATCCAATCGTTTTAGCATCCGATCGCAACAAAAATTTTAAAATTATATATTATGATATCCGTATATGCTCATGGTACAGGCGTTCAACTGCTGCGATTCTATTATTTAGAAACCTAATCTAAAACCGACGTTATCGTTTTACAAGTATACGGCTCATCGTAATCAACACATATACTGTACTCGCGAAATTTCAGAAACACGACAGAAGTGTCTGAAAAACGAAATAAAATATACAGATCAGTATAATTCTGACTTATCGAATCCGATAAGATAACCATTTTCCAGATGTCTTTGACTATGGCAGATTGTCAAAACTATCGCAGTCCCTCTAACAAAATAAACAACAACAAAAGTAACCTAGCGATATTTTTTACTCGCGTAATTTAATCCACACATTATTTAAGCACATAACAGCGACAAAATATATTATGGACTTCAAAGCGCCGTGAAAGGTAGCATAAATTATGCAAAATAGACAAAAAAAAATAATATCTCTGCACGAATCGATAGAAACAGCTTATACGATATTTTCTAAAAGATGAGTCTCTTCTTGATATGCTTGTGAATTTCTAAGAATCCCGTGGACCTTAGTTTATGAATTATTAATTGTAACAATAAAAAATAAAAATAAAAAAAGAGAGAATCAGTCTAATTTTAAACTGAAATACTAAAACGAGGAATATACCTACATAATATTAGTTCTAAAAGATTTTTATTTTCAAATATATTTCTTATCAAAATATTTTTACGGCTTGATGCACTAAATCTTTCATGTAGTCGGTAAGCGGACACAGATGGTACTTACTTTAGAGTAAGTAGTCGTTTTTCATTTTTCTCAGTAGTTTGTCTAAAACATTTAATTTTTACGTCCCAGTGTGGATGGCATATATACGAACGATCAGGTGCGGCCGAAGTAACAGGCACTTTGCAAATAGTTATAAAAGTACTTTAATAACTAGTAAAAGTGTTGCACACTGAAGCAGTATAATATTATACAGCATTATTTTAACCATTTCCACTTATTTTTCCACTGATCTTTTCAACCTTTTGAGTGACACATCTTAAAAGGATACATATAAAATAGGTATGTGTATGTGTCGTTTTACAGCTTTAAAAAAAAATAATAATAATAATAATACCCATTTAATCTATTTGAGGAAAAAAGAAAATAATATTATGACTTTTTATCTAGACAATTGTTATCGAATGCCGCCACACACCACAACAATATACAAAATACCTGTTCGCAGTGCTTCGACAGGTCAAAGGTCTTATATATTTTGTGTCTCGTAGTGATTATCGGTGCATCGTTCTCATTTAATTTCAACGGTTCTGAATCGCAGATAACAAAAAAAATAAATCGATATCATTTAAAACACTAAAGTTATTGAAATTGGTTATTATTGTTGGCTTAAATCATTCGGGAAATTAGTCACAATCAAGTGTTTTGGATTTTTTAAGTAGAAGAGCGATATTACGATTAAGTGACATCGGATTCGAATCGGTTTATTCCTTCTGATTCGCATTCTCAATCAAGCACAATTGCTGTTCGACCGTCGGGCTACACGTATTCGATTGATTTTAATGTTTGATCCGAACCATTTCTTCGGATAATATAATATGCCGGAATGCCTTTGTACACCGATAACAAAATAAATAAGAATAAAGCGTTTTTAAAGAAAAGCAATCAAAACTTTATTCAAAATCTAAATCAGTCTACGCTGACCTTAAAGGGCTTTGCGCAATTTAGAGTGTATACCTTAAACAGAGAAGAAAAAAAGAGGGCAATTTATTAAACGAGAAAGAGATTTATATTTTTACTTTTTATTTCGTTTGCGTTCTCGGCCGAGGTTTCGATGCTTTTAAAAATATTAACTTTGCTCGCGTATTCCGCGAGCAACACAACCAATCCAAACGGATGCAAAATAAATATCTGATGGTACTTTATCAGACGGCAACGTACATTTTATACGCGAGGTTCGGCGAGCGAACGGTAGTTTTCATAGAAATCGATTGTTCCCGAATAGGTGTTAATGGCGCAACGCATTAAAATTCATCTGTAGCGAAACGTTCGGAGCAAGAGGGCGGACAAGAAGGATACACCTACCCGGTGAATCTTACGGTTTTCAACATGTGATTCTACTCGTAAGCCATCCGGAGCACTGTTAGACTAACGCGTGCACGAAATATTAATATCCAACGTCTCCGTCAAGACCAGTGTGACAACACTTTACCGCAGAAACTCGATCGTAATCGTGATACCAATGGTTTAGCTTACGACCGTTGGCGTAACTCATTATACAACACGATGTACACGTTCGAAACTTGTGTAATGTAGTTTTTTTTAGCGTATCCGCGTTCCGCGACGCGATGTTAAAGCTTAAACTGTTTGCACTGTAGGTAGAAATCACATGGGATTTTGTCGTAGCATCCAACGCTAAGGGGAAAAACTGTGCTCCGTGCGCTTGGACCGATTAGTCCTTTGATTGATTTGCGTTGTTCGTCGAACATTTAAATAATATTTCATAACTCAATCGGAAC